GCATGTTTTGCTCAAACTTTCGCCATGGCATTAGAACTAGTACACTGTTGTTGCTTGCGAAAACACAATAACGGTGCCGTGGGTGTAAACTTACAGATTAAGGGGCTGTAATATTATAATGAGATCCCTTTGCCACGTCACCAAGGGAGCGAAATCAGACGCGCTCGTTTTCTCAGACACTTGCAGAAACAGGCTTACCAAAACAAAGTTACTGGGTTAATCTTTTTCACATTTCCTTGGTTGGTAGATGAACTATGCCAAATCCTCCTTAAAGGGTTACTACACCCCAAAATGAAAATTTTGTCATTAATCACTTACCCCCATGTTGTTCCAAACCCGTAAAAGCTTTGTTCGTCTTCGGAACACAATTTAAGATATTTTGGATGAAAACCGGGAGGCTTGTGACTGTCCCATTGACTGCCAAGTAAATAACACTGTCAAGGCCCAGAAAAGTATGAAAGACATCGTCAAAATAGTCCATCTGCCATCAGTGGTTCAATCTGAATTTTATGAAGCGACGAGAATACATTTTGTATGCAAAGAAAACAAAAATAACGACTTGTTCAACAATTAGTCTCCTCCGCGTCACCGTTGCGCCATTTTTGGAGAGTATCCACTGAACGTAAACTGTGTATACTGTTCCGAAGACGAACAAAGCTTTTACGGGTTTGGAATGACATGGGGGAAAGTAATTAAAGACAAAATTTTCATTTTGGGGTGGAGTAACCCTTTAATAGGTAGCCATTGTAGAGATTGTAAAATTGAATGATCATATGATCATATTTTTTTGACCTGGTAAAGACTCTGGTATGTTTCGTAATTTGGCAGTGTTTCTAAGATGGAAGAATGCTGTTTTTGTTACATGAAATATGATTTTCAAAATACAAGTTGCTGTCTAATATAACACCCACATTTTTGACTGTAGAGGAAGTAACACACATCCGTATAGATGCAAATTGTAATCTAAGAGATTCTGTGTACTGTTTTTCGGTCCAGGTAGTAATATCTCTGTCTTATCTGAATTTAATAGGAGAAAAGTATTTGTCATCCAATCTTTTAAATTTTTAACACGCTCCGTTAGCTTAGATAATTTAGAAGTTTCATCTGGTCTTGTTGAAATATATAGTTGAATATCATCCGCATAACAATGGAAACTAATCCCGTATTTTCTAATAATATTACCAAGGGGCAACATGTATATTGAAAATAGCAGAGGGCTCAAGACTGATCCTTGCAGCACTCCATACTATACTGGTGTAAATTGAGATGATTCCCCGTTTAAAAAATCAAAGTGATAACGGTCGGACAGGTAGGATCTTTAACCATCTTAAAGCCTGCCTTTAAATACCCATATAGTTTTGTAATTGATCTTTGAGTATGTCATGATCTATAGCAGGGGTGGCGAACTCCGGTCCTGCATAGCTCAGCTCCAACCCTAATAAAAACTCACCTGCCTGTAGCTTCCTAGTAACCTGTCAGACCTTGATTAGCTTGTTCAGGTGTGTTTGATTAGGACTGAAGCAAAACTCTGCTGGGCTGCGGCTCTCCAGGACCGACGTTCGCCACGCCTGATCTACAGGTGCATCTCAATAAATTAGAATGTCGTGGAAAAGTCCATTTATTTCAGTAATTCAACTCAAATTGTGAAACTCGTGTATTAAATAAATTCAATGCACACAGACTGAAGTAGTTTAAGTCTTTGGTTCTTTTAATTGTGATGATTTTGGCTCACATTTCACAAAAACCCACCAATTCACTATCTCAACCAATTAGAATACTTTATAAGACCAATAAAAAAAAAAAACATTTTTAGTGAATTGTTGGCCTTCTGGAAAGTATGTTCATTTACTGTACATGTACTCAATATTTGGTTGGGCCTCCTTTTGCATGAATTACTGCATCAGTGCGGCGTGGCATGGAGACAATCAGCCTGTGGCACTGCTGAGGTGGTATGGAAGCCCAGGTTGCTTTGATAGCGGCCTTCAGGTCATCTGCATTGTTGGGTCTGGTGTCTCTCATCTTCCTCTTGACAATACCCCATAGATTCTCTATGGGGTTCAGGTCAGGCGAGTTTGCAGGCCAATCAAGCACAGTAACACCATGGTTATTGAACCAGCTTTTGGTGCTTTTGGCAGTGTGGGCAGGTGCCAAGTCCTGCTGGAAAATGAAATCAGCATCTTCAAAAAGCTTGTCAGCAGAAGGAAGCATGAAGTGCTCTAAAATTTCCTGGTAGATGGCTGCATTGACTGGACTTCAGAAAACAGTGTTTTTTTTTTTTATTGGTCTTATAAAGTATTCTAATTGGTTGAGATAGTATTTTGCAGGAAGGAGCACAATTCTGCACAATTCTTTTTCTAAAATTGTAGACATAAATGGAAGATTTGAAATAGGTCTGTAATTTGCCAGTTCACTAGGATCTAGTTGTGGTTTCTTAATAAGAGGTTTAATAACTGCCTAATAATGGTTTTGGGACATGACCTAGAGATAACGACGAGTTAATAATATTGAGAATCGTTTCTTCTGCTACAGGTAACAACTCTTTCAGTAATTTAGTGGGTACAGGATCTAATAAATATGTTGTTGGTTTAGATGCAGTGATGTTTATTTAGCTCTTCCTGTCCTATAGTTGTAAAGCATTGCACACTCACTCTTTGGGTGTGATGAATGAAGCTAAATTACAAGACCCTGTAGATTCTAAATTTTTTATTGTATTTTTTTTTCTGCAGAAACTGCATCTGTTTACAGCCACAAGGTGGTAGTAAGGCTCCCTCAGTTGCAGAAACCGCTTTTGTAATCTTCAAACAAATGACCTACTTTCTAAGCAAGTCAAAGCCAGCCTATCCTAGTGCATTTTTGGTGCCAGGGGGATCCTACACCAGCAAACCCTCTTGATAGATTAATATGGGCAAACAGTGTTGGGTTGTGTAATATATGACTGGATGTAATTGTAGTAGAGAGCCATAACTTACCCAACCCAGATGTTGTCTTTCATTCAGTACCCCCCTGCCACTTTTCCAATTTTTAAAAAAATTTTATTCTTTGGTTGTTATTGTGGATCTGTTGATTTGTTAGATTTTCCCTGTATCACGATATCATTAAATTATTAAAAGTGACAAATTTGCCTATAAAATCTCAGGAGGTGGTCTGATTTCCTCTGTCTCTTTCTTCTAAAGGTGTTCTGTCTATGGCAAACTCTGGGCCAAACACAAATGGATCCCAGTTTTTCATCTGCACTGCAAAAACAGAATGGTATGATGGTGGAAAGGTTATTGGTTTAATTATTACCCATCCCAAGTGTTTTAATTTTTTTTATGGGATTGATGTTCCTGTCATTCTCTTTCAGGCTTGATGGTAAACACGTTGTTTTTGGGCAGGTCAAAGAGGGAATGGAGACGGTCTCTTTAATGGAGTCCTGTGGCCTACATGATGGAGGAACTGTAAAGAAGATTGTCATCACAGACTGTGGAGAACTCAAGTAACCAAGAATGTGTATTCATTTTAATGTGATCAAATGTTTTCACATCAAAAATGCTTATGCATGTAAAGTAAATAATCCTTTTTTTTTTTTTTTTTTTTTTTTTTTTTACATTTGTTACCTAAGTACCTATTGCCATTTTAATGTGTCTGTCTATGGATCCATTAAGGTGTTTTATGCTTACTAGGTAAGCAAATTATTCAGTAAGTATGGTGATTACTTACCCCTACACAACCAATCTTGCTTATGGGTCAAATGCCATGGGCCATAAGGAAATTTATACTGTTAAAGCCTTTTTCTTTCTTTTTTTTTGAAATTAGGATAAAAGCTAAACAGAGATTGTTTACTTTATAAGAACCATGCCAAAGAAACCCCAGGAGGTTTTTTAAATAAATAAATAAATTACACATGAAACTGGTTTTGACATATGGAATTTCTTCCAGGATATTTGCGTTATGTGCCCATTTTTTTTATTTTTTTTTAATGACTCAAGGCTGTTTTCCAGATGAGGGCCGGCTACAACTGCAGCAGTATATCTGGTTGCGTGGCATGCTTTTTAAATCTTCCTGAGAATGATCCCAAACCTTTTTTTAGACTATCCAGCGACAAGATTTCCTGCCCACCTAAAGCAGAATATGACATCCTGTTTGGCTATGAAGATTCTCCACTTCCAACTTTAAACTTTCAGCAAGAATCTTCTGAAAATGTTCATACAATAGTTGTGGAGACAGTTGGGAATAACGAGTTTGTCAGATGTGTTCCATTATTACTGCAGCCAGCTGACATACACATACCCTGAAATGAAAATGAGCAGTCCATTTTAGATGGTGTGTAGGTGTAGCTTATCACAGTAATGCCTTATGAAAGTAAATTATGAACCTTTGTGGAAAACAGTGCTCTTTCCTAAATGAAACCATATGGGGTCTGAACTCACCACTGGTTTGTTTGACTTCTCCAATTGCAATGTTGCTATAGAGACATTTTCATTCCCATTCTGTTTAAGTCTACATTGTTGCAACAAACTTGATATAATTTGGGCCTCCACCCTCTAGTGAAGTTTAAGAGATTTGGAATGTGTAGACCAATTACTTGAAGTTGGCTTCAAGACTAAAGCCAGCGTCATGCCAAGTCCTAACGTTCACATACAGTGCTCATGTGTTTACAATCATTACAAGTAATTAGGTTGAGTTAAAAAATACACATCTGCGTCTTCAAACCTGCGCTGTTGCAAAGACAAGGCAAACGCTGAACTAAAAGAAATGCTCTTTGGGCTATTCGATAGTAAATGAATGTGATGTCAGAATGACAACTGTTCCCCAAGGCTTTAGACTATGGTTTTCAATTACACAAGCATCATTCCCAAGGACCATATCTAAATAATTAATCAGTCCATACTGCCTTCAGCTTGACTGATTTAAAATGGACACAATTTCCCAACACCCAGACACGAGCCAAAGAACATGTTGAAATCCAAAAACAGGCTGTACGTATATTTGGCACAGATTGTACAGAAATGTATATCATTCTGTGCTATTACAAAAAAACGAAACAGAGTCATGATTCACTTAGTCAATGTTTTAATCGAACAAACTTCTAAAAGCACAGTCTTCAGTTTTCCTAACTAACAAATAAGGCACATATCGGAATGCCGTTTCATGGACACAGAGCAACAGATTTCATCTCGTCCCACATTCCCTCATTAGCACTTTCTGTTGCTCGGTCCACTCCAATATGATGACAAATATTTTACAGACATTACAAACATGAGTGTTAAATCAGTACATTCAGTAAATCTATTAATGGTACTGGAAATCCTAAGAGTAAATAGAGGCATTTATTTATGACTAACAATAAGAGAGGTGTATTCTACAAAAGATATCATGGCAAGAATTAAACATGTATTAATATTAAATAAGAATACATTGCACAAATTATCAATCTTGAATCATTTAAAAAAAACATGCACATGCAAACTTCAGTCCCATACACTTGTTTGAAAAATAGTCTCTTTTTTTTCATTTTTACATATGAAGAAAAATATTTTAACATCATTCCTGGACTTGGCAGTAACTGGAGAAGGCTAACTAGAGCGCACAGTTTCATACAGTATGGGCTTGATTCACTAACACATGTCGACCATGTAAAAGGTTTGTACGTGCAATTCAGTGTTATGGTCAATGACTGGAGTTAATCACGTCTTTTTGCCACTGTTTTGCGTCTATAAAACACCTCAGTAAAAAGGCTCTACGACTTACAGTGCGAATCAGTCTCTGTTATGTTAAAAATAGCTGTTTGTGATGTTAGAAGGTTTTCTATAAATGCAAATCAAAACATTCATGCTGTATAGCAGACACAACGATTATAAACAACGTTGAAGCACACATATGCTCATAACGGGTAAGGTTACTATATAACAATAAAATCTAAAATAACAAAACAATTAAAATGGCTTGTAAGGGCATAATAATGTACCAACTTTTGAATAATATTCTATGTAGTCATCAATATTTTCTTCATAGAGTAGCTTCTGTTGCATATTTTATACAAAAAGAATTGAATTGTTAAAAAAAGAACAAAATCCTTCCATAAATATTTCTGTAGGATATAACCAAAGATTATTGTAAAACAAAGGAAAGAAAAAAAACTCCCAGCTCTTTTGCATCAGCATTTTGCCCTTTTTCACATACAAAGTTTTAATATTGCATCATAACATTTTGAAATCGCTAACTTGATGGTAATCGAATATATACACAAAACACATACTAGTATCTTTGTAAGGGAAAACAACAAAATCTTGTTTGGATATCAAATTGCTCCAAAATCTAAATCATCAATATTGTTTCCAAAATACACATACCTTTAATAGAAAATAACAAGTTTATACTGAATGTGAGCTATAAAAGTCAAGTATATGTATTTCAAGACAAAAAAACATGCGCAAAAAGCACTTTGTATAATGTTAAATGCATGTACACTGTCAATACCACAAGCTCTGTCTTTCATTCAATAAAGCAGAAATCAGGGGAAGCTCAGTTTCATAAATCTGCCTTCAACATTTACAAAACTCAGGGCTGTTTTCATTTTAGTCATGTATATAGTGCAATGCAACTATTTTGCTATAATAAAGCAAGGCCTAGATCTAGTGGTGCATTCAGTCATCTGTTAAAGTGTACAGAACTGACAATAAATTTAATTGATCCCAAAGATCACTATGTGTAGACTACCAGCTATGGGGGATCAGCAATGATTATGATGAATCCACAGTAATCGTTTATTTCACTGGTTATTTTCATTACGCCATTCATTACGGTGTTTATCAAAAAGCAGAGTAGCTCATTCCAGCCTAAATGAAGCCTGAAGTAAACCTTGGCGTGTAAGAATGTATGCACAACGAAGCCATTAGCAACACCAGAAAAACACAGTTACCAAGAAATAAAGGGTCTCAGAAAAAATGATAGCAACTCTCAGAAACAGCCTTGTTTTTTATTTAACAGTGATCTAATGATTGACTCCCTGGCAGTTTATACTCCTTGAATTTCCTATCAGAAACTCAAACCCATTTTTTTAACTGAAGTAAAATTAGCTGGTTTACATTTTCAGACATCTAATGGGCTCTTTTATTCCTCAGCATCATGCATGGCATTCCTTGGCAAAAATCCTGACTTTTCATAACCAAACTGTGTTAAGGTACTAGAATCTAGTTCCCAATTCATATCTTTATCCCAATAAATGAAACATTAACTAATATTCAACAGAAAATATGTGGACTCCAAAGATAAGTAAACAATTATACACATTGTATTTACCATGTATATGCGTTTAACTTCATATGTACATCTAGGATTAACAACGCAATGTCATTTCTCACAATATCTGTCTACGACTTCCCACTGGAACACGTAAAGCTACAATTATTGTTCAATGATCCTGGGTCACACTCAAATATGATCAATTAGTACTTTGTGTGAGCCATAACAAGAGGTAACAGCACATACTGTAGATGAGATCCTGTACACGCTTATTTCCATCCAAATATTAACACCCTCCCATTATAATGCTCTCAATAATACATCTCTCTCTAAATGTCTCCTGATCAATTAAATGTACCCAAAGTGTTTTCTCATTACATTTAAAAAAAAAACTAATCTGCATTACTTACTTTGTCCTTCTTTTCCATTTACAACCATATATTTGTCCACTCACATAAAAAATGCTTCCTGAAAATCACAGTTTAAACGGGGTGTAATTCATCAGGTACGTTTGTAGATAATGCATAAACTTGCAGATATGGGGTTAGGCAATAAAGACGTTTAAAATTAAGGATTTCATTCTGACTGAAATACAATCAGAATGATTGTGTAAACAGCGGCAAATTTCTTTAATGAAACATTTTAGTGCAAGGGTCAGATTGAACACTTAAAAATAAAGGTTCTTTAGGTTATTAAAATGTTCTTCACACTAAGAAAAAATGGTTCAGACAAATGGTTCACTGTAAGGTTCTTCTGCGAACCCAAAATGGTTATTTTATAGCGTTGTTGTGGGAAAAAAAATCTATTTTGTAACCTTTATTTTTAAGAGTGAAGGATGTGAATGACTCATTTTGGATTTAAAAATGAATGTGTTGCATAATAGTGAAATTAATTAATGACATTTTCTAGAGCAGTGTTTATATAAAACACGTGCACCGTATTTCATCTGAGATGTGTCATTAAAACACACTCTTTATCCTGAGGCAAATATCTCAGTGAAGAACAGGCGTTATTTTTTTTAAATGCTAGCACATGGACTGAAAAGCTCACATTTTGACGCCTGTACCAAAACACCTCAGCTTTACATGGGTTTGTAAGACATTTGAAGCAGTTCTCTGGCAACAATTGACAACATACATAATCACATTTCAAAGGACGGTGATGATCAGCTAGCCATGGCTTTGTTTCGATCATCCACACACTTCATTTGACTGCGCAACAATGTAAAGGAACTGATGATTCTGCATAAGCTGCAATTGTTTTGCATAGTTTCCAACAACTCAATTCAAATGTTATGGGTGCCTCCAGGGCTGACCTTAGCCAACTTGACAAAAATATCTCACATTTGGCATTTCAAACATGTATGTGAAAGATATAAACTACCTGACGAGCTAATCCGAAGCATTAGAAAGTTCTATTCTACAGTAGTTTCTAATGGCAAGAGGTGGGGTTAGACAATACCTGTCCAGATACAATCACAGATGAAATTATCCCAGTTTACTTAATTCAATTGCACTACGAAACCATATACAAACATAAATAAATATGTGACACAAAAGCTAGGGATGGAAAGTCCATTGTCCCTCTGTTAATTCACAGTTAATATGATGTGCTATTGACCCAAAAACTCTGCAAAGGCACACTGGGCCCTTGTCTGAGCAAACTAACGTGACACCTTTAGTGCTCGGCACATCCTTATAGTTCACTTGGCAGGGAGAATGAAGGGAGAGTCTGTAAACACACAATCAGGAGACACAATGGTGAGGTAATCCACTGCGTCCCGTACGGATAGAAATACTGTCCCAACCATATTCATTTGTCCATTATACACAATAAATGCATCGCATGCTGCTGATACACAAAGCCGTTACTAGCGTTGGAGATATTTACATGAATATTTAGGCACTTTTCACTTTTTCTTGGAGTGCTTGGTAGGCGAAGTGATGGAAAAGGGTGGCGACGACCTCAGAATCCTCCTTATTGCACGCGGCGGCAGTAGTAGCCCAGGACTTTGCACTTCTCGCACAGATGCTGCGGGTGTTCCTTGCTCTGGTCAGAAACATCCAGGCCATCGGGTTTCTCTAAAGGACGCTGAGAGGAGCAGAACATGTGAATCACACTTTGGGCGCATGTGCATTTCTGTCCACAACATCAGTCAGGTTGAAACTGAAGATCTCTTTTAGCGTTTGGCTAGACTCTTTGGAGATATGGTTTTGGAGACGTAGGTCCAAGTCTCAAACCAAAATGGACCAACCGCAGGGGTGTGTCAGGGATTTGTTTAGGATGGCTATCAAGAGCCAATTCATCCTTGTTGTGTTTGTAGTCGCTGCCAGAAGTACATGTTTTGTTACTAAAACTTCATTTATTTTTTTCCCTTAAAATTTTTTGCACAGATTAATATACAAGAGGATTCCGAGCAAGTTTACATGCCTACAGGATTTCATCGCTCAAGACAGCAACCAGGGCGGGAAGACTCTATAGCGAATCTTTGTCTTGGACGTGACACAAAAGACACTGAGAATGTGCACGAGCCAAATCTTTTTGGCTGTTGATCACAAATAACACTTCTGCGATTATTTGTTTTCCCACCCATTGCTTTTGGAAGATAATTTTACAATCTTGTTATTCTTTCCTGTACGTCTCAGTTGCGCTCCGTGAATTACGGAAAACCAGGTTATGACGGACCATTGAGAGGAGACTGTAAAAAATGAGACTGACCATTGGGAGAGTGCTGTAACCTGAGGGAGTGTTTGCTTGAGAGCCAAAGGCTTTGGTGAATGATAAGAGGAAATGTCTAATACCTCTGTGAATTAATAAATTGGCAACTGCAGCCTGATGCTCTTAATTAGCAGAACAAATTCCTGGCAAAATCTGAAGAAGGAACAAAACAAAAAAACAGGAAGCTTGGGAGGACTTTATATAATACCTCTGCTCCATGTCTGCTCTCATACTGTAAAGATGTCAGCCGTGTGCCCTGTGCATGTCGTTAAATATGAGAATGATAAAAGCAGGGATCTCCGGGCGCCTGCTTCTCGAGCACATTCTGGTTCAGGCCTTGCTATTTCATGCAGCAGTGTGGCATTGGCACTACTGAGATACTTTCACTTAATCCTCCACTGGGAGCGGCTGGAGATATAAAATACTTTACGGTGTACAATCTGGATTATTGAGCGATTTCCACACTGCATGACCTGGAAGAATGATTTCCATTGTGAGAGAACAATAAAAACAGAAAATTGCATATGTTTGCTTGGGTTACAGGGAAAGAAGGCCAGCTGCAAACCCTTCAAGGCTTTTTGATATATATTGCAGTGCGCTGCACATCTCACACGCTTACTGCAGGAAACATGTTAAGTAGGTGAGACTGAAAAGCTAAAGAATTTGCTTTTCAGAAGGGAATTAGCCATAATACTCTGTCCTGTGGAAGAGTTGGCTTTCTCAACAGCTGCTAATGCATTTGGATGCAAAACTACTTGTAGGGAAGGTAATTGCAATGAATGCTTCCCTCCCTAGGGGTGCTAAAACATATCCATTTGCATGCTTACCTGCCTAGAACCATGTAGTGCCTACACCAGCAAGGTTAACCAGCAAGTCTACAGACATAATTTAAAAATAATAATAACATTAATGCTTTAATCCTTACCTTATTGTGTATACTACAAAATAATAACCTAAAAATCAACAAATCAATCCAAAATACAGCTTTTTAGATCACTTTTTACAGTGTAGATGAGTTCAGTGTTCAGTGACTTCCTGATAAATGACCCCTTCTTGAGTTCAAGAGGTATTTGAGTTAGACGGATGCCTTGAGTTTGAGTCTCAGGTTTCAGGGTACCTGTTGGGCCCCATCCATAAGAACTTCTTGGAAGATTACACTGTATGTGCTTACACCGTTCACTGACAGATTAGAAAATCTTGCATGCAGTATTTTAGCAATACAGTGTCACATTATATGAGCTGTTAAAAGACGGATACTATACCTGTTTATGAGGATAAACATTGATATGGCATTTGATGCATTCCTGTCCCATATTAGCCCAGGAGTTTCCACTCATCCACTTCCTCTTGCACTTAGGGCACTTGTATTCACCAAAGCATCTCTTCTTGCCTTGGTATGGAGTCAGTCCTTCGCCTTTGGGTCTTGCCTGAGAGGACATGTCAGAGACAGAGCCTGATTAATGAGAGTTCAGCTCAGAAAATCTACATTCATCCGATTAGCTGAAACAGTTTCGACTTAGCGCAGCTCGAAAACAATTTGAAGCTTCTGTGGATTGTGGAAAATTTGTATACATTTGCGACTGACCAAATTTTATGCAAATAAGTAAAGCATTGCACATAATATTTGATGTTATTGGAAAACAAGACAATAATCTTATTTTTTTTAAATAAATTTAACAGCTGGTGATCATCATGCAGTTTTGTTGTATGGAAATAAGCAGCTTTGACATTTTTCTTAAATTCTAGCTGATACAGATCAGCTGACAATTAATTTCATGTTATGGCCAATAACTGATAAATGGCTGTTATTAAAAGAAAGAGAGGGAGAGAGAGAGAGAGAGAGAGAGAGAGAGAGAGACAAAGAAAGAAAGAAAGAAAAAGAGAAATCCTGTAGCAAACATAGTGAGCAAGACAAATTACTAATTGTTAATCTATAGGACAGGCTTTTTTTCTTAGACAGCAGAAAATATTCTCCCAAGGACTTTATTATGGGAGAAGTTTCAACAAAGTGAGTCAGTGCTGACACCAATATCTAGGCCTTTACAACAGCAAAAGAAAAGTTTTTCCCTTGAGCATCACAAACATCATTTTGGTCAAAGTTTGTCCAAACCAAACACACTTTAAATGCTTAACTCGTGTCTGTCAAACCCTGTCACAACTGATTCTACGCTGCACTGCAAAAACACAGAAAAAACATCTAAACAAAATGTTGATACTTACAGCGAGCTGCTAAGTTGAAATGTGATGCTGTTATTTTTATTAACTTTTTTTTTCATCTTTCTAAACTGCACAAGATGCTGTGTGTGGTATGGCAGACTTCTGCTGGAGAGTTCAGACTCCAAACCACTACACAAATCTGAGAACTCTGTATATGGGGAATTCTAATTATTTTAATTATGTAAGTGAATTCAAACCTCAACAGATAATTGCGGTGTGGTCTCAGTATGCTTTCTGGTCATAGAGTGTACATTAATAAATACTCTGCTTCCTTTTTGACTCAACTCTCCTAAAAGAGAACAGAAAAGTGGCTAGTAGTAGTGCATTATGAGCACATACTGTAGGAGTGCCTATGACTTTTAGCAGATTGCTGTGATACTAAACAGGATTTAGGATGTGAATCCATGCATTCAACCATGTGTAATCTTGCATAGCAAATCACTGGCTACTGCAGTGTTTATTCCACACTGTTAAGGGGATAGGGAGGCCTAAAGCTGCTTTACTGGTGAGAGGATTTGGAAATGGACTTCCAGGTCCCATATGAGCAAAAAATAAGTGATATAATTTATTAGCATCTGCTCCCATCCACCCAGAGCCAACTGGCCAACTGACACACTGCATGCAAAAGGCTCTCCTCCCTAAACTTAAACACCATGAGTCAACCACTGTCAACAACAACTGGAAAGTGGAAACCATGACGGTTGTGGCTGTTGTTGTGGAGATACTTTCAAACTTCACAGAAAGTCTGACGCAAGGCTATCCCTATGATGGTGTCAGTCAATACGCTATTGTAATGCTGGTGGTCTGATGTGGGTGAGGTCCTAAATTGGAGAACAGGCAAAACAAAATATCAGTATCAGCAAAAAAATATCAGTGATATCTGATGTCAGAACCACTGCTTTCCATCACTGTTTTCCTTCAAACATTTAGTAATTAACATGGAGTTTGATTTAGTGTCAAGGGTGGCCTCATGGTCTGAAACTCAGATGTGAGCCAAATGACCTGTTTTTGAGAATACTATTAATTCATGAATGGATAGAGTTAAAGCTTCATATCATGGAAAAGTGATATTGGGAAATCTTATTACAATAAAATAACTGTATATTTATTTATAATCATTGAGTACCAAATATGCATTAGAATGATTTCTGAAGGATCATGTGACACTGAAACTGGAGTAATGTCTGCTGAAAAATCAGCTTTGCATCACAGGAATGAATTACATTCTGAAATATATTCAAACAGAAAACAGTTCTTTTAAATTGGAATAATATTTCACAATATTCATATTTTACAGTATGTTTCATTAAATAAGTGCAGCCTTGGTGAGCATAAGAGACCTCTTTCAGCAACATTAAATCTTCCAATCTTTTGACCAGTAGTGTGTGTATTTACGTATATATATATATATATATATATATATATATATATATATATATATATTACGGCTGTCAGTCAATACATTTTTTTTATCTAATTAATTACAGCATGCTGCGATTAATTAATTGAAAATACTCCCAAAAGATCATTTAAACCTATTATTGTTAAATGTTTAGGCTACAATGGCCTAACAAAGTATAAAAGAAGATAATTCGAGAAGCATCTCAGTATTTTTTGTTCATGCAATGAAAGTCACTAGTGACCAAAACAGCTTAGGGTGTGTTCACACTTGTAGTTCGATTCTTTGGTTCATTTGGTCTGGACCAAAAAGGAAAATAATACATTTGGTCCTGGTCCGCTTAGTGTTCACATTGGCATTTTTGACAGCGAACCTAAGGCATAGTGATATGTTCACAACCTGATTGGTCGGCTTGAATGATGTATATATCGTAACAGAACTCACAGAACACCCCAAACAAAAGGTGCTTAAAGACTTAAAGCGACGCTGCGGGTGTATGATATCAAAGCATCCATTAACCTATCGATCCGCTCAGTGCCGCTTTAAGTCGAACACATCTAATGCCGTCTGCTGGACCTAAGCGCGCTCATTCTTGCGTGTACATATCATTTTATTTTCACCACCTGCAAACTCACAAGGAGCTCATAAGAGTCACTTTACCTCATCGTTGCTCCACGTTTGTCCTCTGCTCATTTTGTTTTTGTTACACCACGTCGTCAAATCATGTTCATTTTATTTGAACCAAACATGACAAGTGCGAACGCACCCATAGTTACCAACAGTATTCAAAATACCTTCTATGTTGTGCAAAAGTAAGTAAGTCATTCATGTTTGAAACAACATGAGGGTGAGTAAATGGTGACAGAATTTATTTATTTATTTATCTATCCCTTTAATGTTTTTTTTTTTAAAGAAATTAAATTATACTCTAAAGAAGAAACTAGAACTACCAGCAGATGGTGGTAAATGTCTTTATGAGTCCATTCGTTCAAACGGCTGATTCATTCAGTAATTCATTAAACGGCTCTCTCTATGAATGGGCTACTGAATCATTGGTTCACACGATTAGTTCAAAACGGGGATTCATTCAGAAACTAAACACCGCTGTGTTGCTCAGAGATGCACAACAGTTCTGCTGTAGCTTTAGAGGTGATATTTTTGTTGACAAAATTGAACAAAACGCACAATACTGTGTTTAAATTTTGCACAATATTAACTTCTTATTTACTGAACTGTTGTATAAAATCACATTTGCACTCGTGTTTTTCGTGACAAAAACAGCACTCATGTGATATTGCTCTCGCTGCTGGTGTGATATCGCTTGTCATATGATATAAATATGAGGCAAAAACTCATACAGGGGCATTTTTGCCCCAATATCTTGATTTTTAGGGCATAACTGCATTTATGGAGTTGTTGTCCTGCATCATATTTGTCAAAAGTCGACTATATGAAATGTAAGATGATGTACTGGTCTGTGGGCGGGGCCAGTGCGTTAACTGCTTTAAAATATTTTAATCTCGTTATTTTTTCATAACTAATTAAGTTAACGCGCTAAACTGACAGCTCTAATACATACATACATACATACATACATCCATACATGTATGTAAGGTTGGAATAGATACCTGGGTCACTTTGCATTATAAACAAACACTGTACCACACAGCACACAGTGGGTGGATCTCCTCAAATCTCAACTGGACAAGACTGGACAGACACTCACAAGTTAAGGCATCTCTACGAGAGAGATTTGATGAGCAATCTTCAAGAATTCACAACTCTGCAAAAAATGCTCTATATATCCAGCACTGCAGAGGTCTCTGGGCAAGTGCCAGAGGACACACATGATATTCTGTTGACAGCAGTCTGACCTATTTTGGTTGTGTTTTTAACAGATTTTAGACCAATAGAGCTACACTGGCAGTGTGAAGGAAACCTGGCAAATTTGACATTGAGACATTCTGTAACTCATAGAGAGGATCTAAGCTTTCAAGAGCAGGAATAGAAAGGAAATAAAACAAACAAACAAATAAAAATGAGTTTTTTTCTTTAAATAAATGAGAGAAAATAAACTATTTGTTGGTCATTTGAAACACATTAGTCTAGTACTAACCACCGGATCAGAAATCCACAAACCCAAGAACCCAAAATGTATTATCCTATTGTTTTAGCTCTGAGAATATTCCTCACACAAAATAAACAATTGCTCAAAACAAAACACTTGTTATTTTCCAAATGCAACAATCTCAGAGGAAATAAGGCAATGGAGAGTACGCTCTACTTACAGTCACCACCAGGGAAATGACGAACGAATTGCGTTGACAGTAACGCCATAGTCTAAACACACCCTGACCAAAGCCTGTGTGTTGCAGATTTGTGTTTACACAGTTCTACTCAGTGCATTGCTCTAGAAGTAATGTGACCATTTTAACCCAACCTGAGCTTAGTGGACACAGCAGGTTTGTGTAAATCAATCTGGCTGTTTGTCCAATGAAAACACAGCTTAAAGACAGGAAAGGGAATCAAAAAGAGCAACACTGAATAAATAGCTGATGTTTGATATGTCTTTCCCATCCTGCCGCAAGTCAATGTTTACTTCAGAAGCAATATGCATTAGCTTTAGAGGGTTTTTGAAAGAAGGGCCCTCACTATCCAGCTGTTCGAGGGAGTTTTTTGGAGTAAAAATAGACAAAAACAGCCACTGGCCACAAACATGTGCACACAAAATATTTACTGCCTGTCAACACTCAGTAAGGTGAATCTTGTTCCAAAGACCCTCACATTGTTAATCCTAGCGGCCTTAAATGA